TACGACGCTTTTTCTAGCTCGTACAGCGACGCCAACTGGATCCATTTTTCATGTCCGCGCTAGATCCATGATTGTGAAAATATGGAGAAATATTATGGATTTATTAATATATGTTTTATTAGATGCGCGTGATGTTTTGTCATTCTAGTATATACTATATACGGACAGCGATATAAGTTATTATTGAAGTATTTTATGTATATGCGCATGTGCAATGAAATAAATTTTCTTAAATTAATTTTCTTAATAAAAAATTCTTAATTTTTAAATATAATGTAGAAAATATCTACAATAAATTGCTTTCATATTAATTGCAATGGGCGATAGACTTAGATATCCCGATATTCCAGGTACTCTAACTCTAGAGTATAACAATTAAGTAATGATGATATTTTCAGTTAGAACTCCGGGCAAGACCCTTGTTGTTGGAGCTGGATGTATCCTTTTTCTCAACAAAGTTTTATACGATTTGTTACCAAATCTTACATTAGATATTTATAATATGATAGAATTATGCACAATGCATATTAATATTTTCTTATAATATGTTTTGTTATAAACATTATTACATTTTATGTGAGAATTATATTAAGAATAATTAATTCTTAAAATTTTGAAAACATATTGGTCATTTTGTAACTACACATATATTATACTACACATATTGTATAAAAAATTTATTTTATGTATATATTATAATGTATCTTGTAATAAACCAATAATAGCTATAAAAAGATACTATTATCTTAAATATTCTTTTCAAGTTAACAACTTTTACAAAAAATATTTTATATATTCGATATATTCAAATTATAGTTAATATTTGATATATTCAAATGTATTATATTAAACCGAATTATGTTGATTAAACTATTATATTAATTATAAATAATCACAGACTTCTATATAATATACTTTGTAAAACTGCTAACACAGCTATATTTCATATAAGAACATGTGAAGCAAGGCAAAGTCATTTACAATTGGGCAGAATATCGATATGAATTCGATATTTGATCGATTCATGTCATTCAAACGTCATTCATTCATTTTTTAAACATATATACGTTTAAAACATTTTAAAAAGTAAAAATAAACTAAAAATGTCAAGTGTATATATAGTGCACATATAAAAATAAAAATGTCAATGACTTGTAGCATACCTAGCTGTTCAAATAGATATATTCTAAAGGAAGAAATATCAATTTTTTTCAGTAAGTATAATCTCTGTTTCTCTTATTTTTTAAGAAACTAACTATTTTTATGTGTTATTAAATATGTATCAAATATTTATAAATAAACACTTTCATATGAAATATTACAGCTTTCCCTTCAAAGATAAAAATTGATTGACAACTTGGTTGAATGCGATAAAAAGATAAAATTGGACTCCCAGTAAATATGCTACAATCTGTAATGAACATTTTACTGCAAATGATTATTTTCATAGTCCCACAGATATCTATACTACTACTAGATCGCTAACTTCGTTAAAAGAGCTGTGGTCGGCCGGATTTCCGGATTCGGCCATGACACCTTACAACAAAATGGCGGCGATGCATGTGTAGTGCGTATGTGATACCCGGCCATGACATCTTACAACAAAATGGCTGCTCCCGCTTTTTGTCAGCTATTGTTATTGCATGAGATGTACTAAAATATTTATTAAAAATGAATGCATTTTACTTACCTAAATAAATGAAAACCATTTTTTGTAGTATTTTTGCATTTCGGAATGCAACAACTGCTCGGCATCTTTCCAGAATTTTCACAATTACAAATTCACAATTCAAAAAATAAATTTAAATTATGAAAAATTAGAAAATAAATAAAATAAAATTCAATAAAGATAAATAGATAAATTAATTATAAGCAATAATAATTTATAATAAGGTAAATTTATAAAAAATTAGAAACTAAATAAAATAAAATTCAATAAAGATAAATAGATAAATTAATTATAAGCAATAATAATTTATAATAAGGTAAATTTAAATTCACAATTTAAATATTGGGTATCACGTACGCACAAACACTAACACACGTCGGGTATCACATACACGCACTACACACGCATCGCCGCCATTTTATTGTAAGGTGTCATGGCCGAAACCGGAAATCCGGCTGGCCACAGCTTTTCATATGTCAAAGCCCGAAGTTAGCGATCTAGGTTTAGTATAGACATCTGCATAGTCCAGGAGAGGCTCAGAAGACATATTTAAAACCAACAGCAAATATACAGGGTGTCCCACCAAAAGTGGCTACCCCCTTTTATCTTTTAGATTAAAAGAGATAAACTGTAACAAATATACAGAGTAGGCCCAAACATTCCGGCCAGACTTTGAGATTTTATAGGAAATTTAATTCTGAACAAAAGGTTTCCTATAAACATGGATCGAAAAATGCTTTTTTAAAAAGTTAGCGCTCACAAAAACTCTGAAATCACGGTTATTTTATACATTTTTATAAATATCAAGAGAAATATGCATTTTCTAACAAAAAGTACCAAAACAAAAGTTGTAGAGAATTAAATTATCTTTTAAATGAGATCAAAATGTTTGGAGAACGTTTCATAAGTTTTGAGATAACCAGTTTCAAATGTACAAAAAAGTGTTTTTTCGGCTATCGACGGTAGAGCTTCTTAAAAATATTCTTCATTTATGCTGTTATGGTCTTAGCTAATTTTTAATATTTATCTTGCTTGTTGGTTATTCCACTAAAAAAGTTTTACTTTTCTGCATTGTTTAAACCAATCACCATAGGAGGATGAAAGAAAGAGCAGAAGGTGAAAAGAAAATAAAATAAAAAGAAAATGGAACTTAATAAATTTCTTGGAAAAAAATAATAAAAATAAAAAATAAAAATCTTTTTCTTTCATAAAAATAAAATAATTCTTTTTTTTAAATTAAAATAGTACTGTAATAGTAGAAAATGAATAAAAACATGAAAAAACTAATTGTTCTCAAAATGTCCCCCTCCAGCTTCAATACACTTTCGGCATCGAGTAGTGACCGATCGGGTCGCTTTATGGATTTCCTCCCGATTTAATTTTACTCGATCAAAAGTCGTGTTCATCTGTCAATCTCTAATGCACAAATCAGAAGTTGCCCATAACGCAGGGCAGAAAGTGAAAAGGTAGACGTTGCCCACAATATCCCAAGTCGATAAAACTTGTATAATATGTAAAATATTTATATTACATCATACATTGTTGTATTCATTTCAAACAGCGCTACAATTTTTATCATATCAAAAATATTCACATTTATAAAAATTATGCATAAATTATGCATATTATATAAAATTATGCATCTCTCCGTTCGTTAATACAGATAGCTTTTCAAAGCAACCACTATGGTCACAATAGAGTTCAGTTTAAACCATATTTAATTTGATATACATATTTGTTATGGTCTATCTCTTTTAGTTTAAAAGATAAAAAGCAGTGATGGCCACTTTTGGTGGGATACCCTGTTTAAAGAAAAATAATCATTAATGAACGAAATCAAATGGAAGCAGAATATGTTAAAGCAAATTCTATTAAAAATTGATACGTTAATGGTATGTCAATTTATAAGAGAAAAGAGTCGCTTTAAGGTGATGCCGGACCGTCCTGTTTCACCGGCCATAATAATTTACTTTGCAGACCGAAATTTTTTTATTGGTTACATGAAATAAGAAATCCTTTTCCACGATTAAAGTATATACATCAACAAAGTGCTAACCTTGCGCTTTTACGTTAAAAACGAAGAAAATCTAAAAAATTACAGTTTTTTTATCGGCGTTTTGCGTCAGGTCGTAACAATATTTGCTTAATATAAAAGTTTTGCAGTTTGTATGTACAAAATAAGATAGGTTCCCACTTGGAAATGCATGAAAGAATATAAGTGAACGTTTGAAAATGTATTTAGAAGCCTAGTAAAAAACATTTCGGAGTGCAAAATTTTTGCAACATTGTAGTAACATTGCTGCAACGTTCTGTGCTGTATTGGTTGATTAGATTTTAATATTTTGCTGGGGGATAGTAACGTTTTATACATATTTTGTTTAATAATAATAATATCTATTGTGTATAATGTATATAAATATCAATTTTCAGTATTAGTAATGTGTATCAGAACATAATTCTTTTTTATTTAGACCGAATTTATATCACTCATCATGCTATTAGCCGCAAGAAGCTGGAATCTATTTCATTCAGATTCCTGCGCAATGATTTCTGCGCAGACGCTCGATGCTTGATGCTGCCATGTAATGGCACCTTTACTGCTTAAGTTTTTCTATGTGCCACGGCCCTAAGTTTTTTTATGTGCCACAGCCCTAACATGGCGGCTATTTTAATCGACCAATCAGGAAATGGAACAAGTTGGCGCCTCTCTGATAATCTAAGACTCTATCTAATTTGTCACAAACGTTAAAAACAGATTCACAATCAATCACAAACGATTTACAAAATTTCACGTAAATGTCACGGCATCGTCATACGAAATACTCCAAATGACTCCCCCCCTCCCGCCCATACGCATCAACATCAGAGTGCATTAGCTTTTTCCGTTTTTCAAGGCAAATATGAGCCAACAAACGTTTTAATTAGTTTTTCCGTGACCAACAAATGATTGCGCATCGATTGAACTAAGTTTGAAACAAAAATGATATCTTTCCGGTTAACTTCACACAAAATTTTGTCGTCGTATTTTCAAAAAAAATATTAGCCAACAAACGTTGTAATTAGGCCAACAATCACCAACAAACGATCAACAAACGATTCGTAAAAAAAAAAAATTATAAAAGTGAATGTTGACCGGCTAACTTTATGGAGCTGACATATACCTCTACATAGAAACTGGAAATCTATTTCTCAGCGTTGGTAACCTTGAAATTAGAGTTTTTGAGTTTCTGTCACCGCGCGGGGTCTCCAATAGAAATTCACCAGTAGAACAGATCTTCTACGTATAGCCAATCAGCTTAGGTGCTTAAAGAGCGATCTTCGATTCTATTTTATCGCAAGTTCATGGTTTGATCGAACCAACTCTGTATGACATCTATGCTGTCTGTATATGATATTCTCTCCTGGACTTGACCTTTTTGTCAGATCACAGTACCTATATTACTTTTAATGGTGGTCCGTTGTTAGTTTAATTTTCAACATTGTTTCCTCAGTGGAAAGGACAAATTAAAAGATGGCTGTGGCTGCCAGGGCATTTTCAAAATTTACAGGTGGGCACATCATTTTTTTCTCGCAGATCCCGCATTATCTCCTTGTCTCTCCAATGTTCTCTTGTCTTTTGCACATTTGAACAGCAACATCCTGAGCTTTTTTTTTTTCATATTGTGATTATGCCATACGCAGCCTGTGAACGGACTAAAAATAATACTGACAGCCCGCGCTTGTCATGATAATATTTTATTATATAAGAAAGGACATAATCGTGTCATGTAGGAGAGGATCACACCTTGTAGGAAAATGCGCGTTTCCCTAATTAAGAACGATATATGAGCTTGTCTCGTGTTATATGAGAAGCAATTGGAAGATTTGTTCGCTTCTGTAATAATCGCAATTCTTTTTGCGACGATAACTCTCATGCAATTAATTTTAGCGATATCTATCCTCTTGCAAACATTAATCTTTCTTTGGTTCTTCTTAGATTAATAAACGTTTTAAATTGCATATGCATACATTTTAATCAGTGTTCGTTATTTTCTTTCATGATACTCGTAAAATGTCAGATTACATATAATCATTATATATAATTTGCAATGAGAAGACTGAACTGGAAATCTTGAAATTTGATATTGCTAAGAATAAGGAGGGCAATATAAATATACTTCTTGTTTTCTACTTTTGTATAATATTGTTAAATATATTTTTGTGTATGCAATATAAAATATATTTTCGCTCTAAGAGACATTTTATATATTAATATCAGTTTTTATATGATATTTGTATATAATATTTTTAAGTAATAAATATATTCTACTTATATATATATATATATATATATATATATATGTTTATATCTCACATACATATATATATATACAATATCTTAATTCTATCGTAATAGACTTATTTATATTTACTGTTATTATATGATGTTACAGTTATGTTTTATAATTTTTTCAGTTAGAAACTGTGGAAGTTTATTACGCTCTCAGGTGAGATTTAATTATACAGAAACTAGGAAGAATTTAAAAATTGATGCAAATACCAAAGTGATATGTCAAGGTTTTACTGGAAAGCAAGGAACTTTCCATTGTCAACAAGCTCTTGATTATGGTACAAAGATAGTAGGTGGAGTTAGTCCTAAAAAGGCAGGCACAGTACATCTTGGGAAACCAGTATTTAAGACAGTTAAGGAGGTGAGTATTGCTTTTTTTTTTTTGCAATATTTATTATAATATTTAAATTAACTGTTATATTTTATAGGCGAAAGAAGCGACTGGAGCTTCTGCATCAGTTATTTATGTTCCTCCCCCAGCTGCAGCATCAGCCATTATGGAATCAATTGATGCTGAGATGCCTTTAATTGTTTGTATTACAGAGGGTATTCCTCAGCACGATATGGTTAAAGTAAAGAGACGATTGCTTGAACAAAATAAATCGCGTTTGATTGGTCCAAACTGCCCTGGAATAATAGCACCTGAACAGGTATGTATATAGAAATAACTTTAGATATTTTTTTTCTTTTGGGGTGAAATATAAATATATATTTATTTATTATTTTGTATATATATATAATGTTCTAGTGTAAAATTGGTATTATGCCTGGCCATATACATCAAAAAGGAAAGATTGGTATTGTCTCAAGATCAGGAACTTTAACTTATGAGGCTGTAAATCAAACGACCCTTGTAAGCATATATTTCAATAGTTACATATATTAATAAGATATTAAATATATTACAATAATGTTCTGTTTCAAGGCAGGACTTGGGCAAACATTATGTGTTGGTATTGGCGGCGATCCATTCAATGGCACTGATTTTATCGATTGTTTAGATGTATTTCTTACTGATCCAGATTGTGATGGCATTATAATGATAGGAGAGATTGGTGGTAGTGCAGAAGAATTAGCAGCAGAATATCTCATCGAGAAGAATACTGTTGGTTGCTGTTCTGAGTTATTGGTACCCGAATCCCAACCCATCCTAATCCTGTCTTAATTCGTCCTTGAGCTCATGATATGATTTAATATATCATATGCTTACATTCTTATAATGTACGTATTATGTTGTAGGGTGGAAAAGCTAAGCCAGTAGTATCATTTATTGCCGGTATTACTGCACCACCAGGACGAAGAATGGGACATGCTGGTGCTATAATCTCAGGAGGAAAGGGTGGTGCGCAAGATAAAATTAATGCACTTGAAAAAGTGAGTAGCAGTTTCATATATTTCATTAGCATTATATATATAAAAAAAAATGTTTTAAATCAAACAATATACATGAGTTTTTTATTATTAGGCTGGTGTAATAGTAACAAGGAGTCCTGCACAAATGGGTAATGAACTTCTAAAGGAAATGACACGACTTGGTTTGGTCTGTAATTAAAACATGCACTACTATAATTCTGTGTAGTTTCCTTCATGTTCATGTATCTTCATGAAAAATAAATTGAAAGTACAGCAATAACTCACACAGAACATAGTAGTGTAATATATTGAAGAATGGAAATTATTTCACGTACTAATAATATATCAACTATTCTCATTGCCATATATATAGATCAAAGTTAAATATAGCAGAAAACTGATATTTTTTAAAGAATTTATTTAACTGCAAACAATTGTTTATAATACTTTTACATTAGCTGTTGCGTTAATAGTGGCAGATGTCTTAAGAATAATTTACAAATTATCTAAGGGAACGTTAAACTGCCATTTGTCTATAACAGTTTTGACTAATGCAAAGTTATAAATTTTTCTATGTAAGCATAGTTTTTTGAAGAACGGTTGTTTAAGTATATACACAGTATATTTTATTGTAAATTATATCAAGCGTAATATATTACACAGTAATCTTTAAACTCTATGGATCGTGTATCCTTATATTGTAAAGTGTGTTACAAATTGAAATATATATATAAATTTTGCTGTTTGTTCCCACAGCTATTTGACTTTTGTATAATTGTTTTATATACAAAACTGTTTTATCACCTAAATCCCATTATTTTATTAATATACTTAGCAATATCTGCACTTTTGTCATTAACAAATGGTTTCAATTTTGCCAAGTCCATTGTTTGTACAATGTGCAACAAACTTTGACAAGTACAGTAATATAAATATTCATCTTTGTATAGCTGCTCAGCTAATTCTACTTGGTGATTGTTCATGAGAAGATCATTGATCACTACAATTAAATGTTTGCGTTTTTCTAAAGCTTCCAGTACGCTTCCCGCACCCGCGTGGCTTATCACAAGATCTGCCGATTGCATATACTTTCCAATGGATGGACTTAATTTAAATGTTTCTATTTTATCGAAACCATAACGTGCAGTGCAGTCTAGTTCTAAACTGCTATTGCCAATTTGCAAAATTAGATGTCTGTAATTACGCGCCGATAGGGCCTAAAATCGCAATAATAATTATAAGCATGGAAATTATACTGATAAAATAAGTTCTATAAAATGTAAAATAAATAATCAATCGTTATAGTGAAAGAAATAAATATAAATAATAATGTAACATGTATTTATTACCTCTAAGACTGCACGATTTAGTACGGTAATTATAAGATTATCAAATTTTGTTGTGCCAACAGTAACAAATACCGTTTTATCTGACATTGCGTTGTATTTACACTTTTTCATGTATCAGAAATCGAAACAATTATTTATTACTCTATTCATTCGTTTAAAAATATTTATTTAAAGCACTATACATGCAAGATTGTCAATTGTGAACCAATTCATCTCTCCAATTGTATCAAAGTGATTAGGTTAACTTTATTTCTTTCTTTTTTATTAATAAAGGACTCTGATTTAGAACGAGATAAAGAATCGCTAATTTAGGTTTAAGTATTTTTGTGATATTAATTTTTTTATATAGGTGCATCAAAATATCCGAATTAAATAAGTTAGCTTATTTTTATATGTATATATGTGTCTAGCAAGTCTGAGCTCGTTTACACGAAATTAAGCTTTTCTCATAAGTGGACAAAAATTCTTTGCATCGTCAAGTGATTGACCAATCCAGATTCGACAAAAATTTTTTTGCTCCAATTAGTCAACCAAACGCTTCGAACGAATCCAATTGTAATAAAGCCTATATCAGACAATGCATTGAAAATTGAAGATTGAAGATTTGAATTTAACTAATCAGAGCCAAAGGAACTAAAATTTCCTTGTAGTGTGATACAAGCTTAAAGCCCGTATCAGACTACGCATTGAAGATTGAGATTGAAGATTGAAGATTGAAATTTGATCAATCAGGACAAAGAAATTTTAGTCCCTTTTGTTCTGATTAGTCAAATTTCAATCTTTAATCTTCAATCTTCAATTTTCAATGCGTAGTCTGANCTAACCGAGCTTGGTGAAATTGGCCCTTAATCGGGTTTAATAACATCCGTAGTTGTAAAACTGGCCAATCACAGCTATTCCTCTGAAGAATAAAATGACTGTGATTGGCCAGCCTTCGAACTACGGATGTTATTAAACCCGATTAGGAGTGACGTGTAAACGTAGTCTATGGCTACGGTCGAGAAGACGCTAAAAATGCTTCGAAGCATTGCATTAACCAATTAGAATAAAGAAATCTTTACTCTCTTTGTCTTAATTGGTCAATTAAACGCTTCGAAGCATTTCTAGCGTCTTTCAGATTGAGATCGAGGATTGAAGATTGAAATTTGACCAATCAGGACAAAGAAATTTTAGTCCCTTTTGTCCTGATTAGTCAAATTTCAATCTTTAGTGCCGGTCTACAATAGTGATTTAAGCTCTAGGCCTTAAGAAATTGACTAATCACAGTCGAGTATTCTCCTCATACTTGATCGTGATTGGTCAATTTCTTAAGGCTTAGAGCTTAAAATCTCTATTGTAGACGTCGCTTTAGTGTCGGTCTACAATAGTGATTTAAGCTCTAAGCCTTAAGAAATTGACCAATCACGATCAAGTATGAGGAGAATACTCGACTGTGATTAGTCAATTTCTTAAGGCTTAGGGCTTAAATCACCTATTGTAGACCGGCACTTATGCCCGTATCAGACTACGCATTAAAGATTGAGATTCAAGGTTCAAGATTAAAATTTGACCAATCAGAATAAAGAAATTTTAGTCCTTTTTCTTCTGATTAGTTATAGCGTTTTCGGACAAATGGGTTAACTCAACCCGGTTCAATTAATCACTATATTTTACTATGAATTCAAGTCTTCA